CGCTTCATTTATTGGACTAAACCCCAGTTATTGATTATCTTCTTAGGTGGGTAAATTAGGGGGAGCTTAGGGTAAAATTGCCGTGTGTGTCTGTGTGTCTATATCCACCATAATTCATGAACCGATACACAGAAAAACACTAAATTTTAAACTTAAGTTTTTTTTCGGCCTGACGTGAAATTATTAGATTTTGGACAAAGTCGGAACATCTGGGAGGGTACTTTATGGGAGGCCGTTTTTATATTTTATTGAATATATATGTTATTTATGTTTGGAGAAGAAAATTATTCAAATAAAAGTTACTTCTAATATTATTATCTATAATTTTTGTTTTATGTCAAAATTTCCTGAAATGGTCCGTATTCGAGAAATTTGACAAAATGTGCAAAATTCTAAACTAAACTAAAAGTTGTTTGCGATATCGATCTCTATAATTTTTGTTTTTACATGATTTTTCTAAAATGTACCGTAATGGAAAAAATTGTAGGAAAATTGCTAAATTTAAATTTTTCAGTATTTTCGTTTTCAATGAATAACTATAGAAAAATGTTTCGAGGTAGATAGATGTATGTGGAAAATGTATATATTTAGTTTATCCTCTAAACATTTATAGAGGTACTGCAATAAGTTGTACAAAATAACCAGAAAAAGCCTATAATTACTAGATAGGAAAGTCATGTGTTGGACACATCAGATTTTTTGACTATAAAATTTGGAAAACCAATATTTTCTGTATAATAAAGCTACATTTGTTGCATCTCGCTAGGACGCGCCATTTTCAAGAGAAAAGCATGTTACCTTATTCGAAAGTGTGAACAATAATTAGTAGGTCTGTAGAATTAGAAATTTTATTTTTTTTTTAACTTTGAAAAACCGGTAACTAAAGAAATTTTAGAAAATATTTCATCTGGACTTCACTTGTAACACCCTGTATCTCGAAAACGAAACGTTTTCGGACCTATGTTTATATTAACTTCTACTACTATTTTTAACCGACTTCATAAAAGGAGGAGGGAGGTTCTCAATTCGTGCAATATTTTTTTTAATTTTTTTTATGTATGTTCAGCGATAATTCTTTAACACGGTGTCCAATTTCAATGATTCTTTTTTTGTTAAAAAGAGGGTACTTTAGGGGTGGTTCCATATAAATTTAGTCAAAATCTAATAATTGGGCCCATGAGAAAATCCTCAAACTCTTCATTTTTTATGTATGTCTAGCGATAATGCTTTACCACCTTGTCCGATTTATATGATTATTTTTTTGGTAGTAAGGGGGTACCTCAGGGGTGATCCTATATAAATTTGGTTAAGATGTGGTGACGGCATCTGCACGTTTTTGAATTCGGTTTTTTTAATTTTTTATTTCTAATACTTGTAGGATATAGATTACGCTGTTAAAATATGACCGTCTAATTTCGGGACACCCTGTATATTGAAAATTCGAAATATTAGTTATGATGTAGCGGTGTTTTTCTAATTGTAATCGGACCCTAGGTATTTGGATATGGAAAGTGATGAATTGGAGATAGGTAAATTGTATTTATTGTATTAAAGGAACAACAAATATAAGTACAATTAAATAAGTATATTAATATAACAATTTTTTAAAGTTTGTATTAAAAAAAAAAAAAAATTCACATGGATTAATCAATTAAAAAAATAACTATTAAAACACGAAATGTTAATTATTTCTCTTTTACAACACAAAATATACAATACTGTTGAATCAAAATTTTCTCTTGGCAGCAGGTGGTTTTTGTGACGCGACAATTATGATGCTTTGCATCTCATGAATTAAAGCTAATTCTCTTTCAATCTTAAGGTGATCATACCCCTTATAATTTTAAGACAAGAATATCTCAAAATATTTAAATTTTGGCAAAATAAATTAGGCAATAATATCTATAATATGCATATATTTTAATGTTTTAATTCCTTCCAGTTTCCTAAAAAATCTAAAAGGGATTTAATTTTGAAATATCATAATGAAAATAAATGCATTCCTCGACAGCACTATTCCTAATATAATCCCCAAATTTAGGCTCCTAATGTCTTGTTAATGATATCTTAAAATTTGCCAAAATTAGTGACTAAAACGCTTCGTTAAGTGCTATCTTCTGGTGTAAACTGGTGTAAATTATTGCAAGAAACGAATAATGACAGAGTGTACGATACGATAGTTACAAGCCCGTTACACTGTTTTTAACTCAATTTATTAAAAAAAATAATAATAAATTAGGGTGTTAAATTTTTTTTCTCTGAAGCTATTGGTTTTCAGAAAAAAATTAAATAAAACAAGGATTTCATAAAAGTTCACCTCGAAAAAAAGTTTTGATATGAAATAAACTAAGTGTTGCTAATTTCACCCCCCTATAATGTAACAGATATATTGAAAAAATACCCGTGGTTAGTCCTTTGCGATTACAAAATTTCAAGTTTCTAGCTTTACTGAAATTTAAAAAAAAAATAAAAACTCAATTTTAGTCACCACCTTTTAAGGGTGATATCTCGAAAAGGGGTGGCCTGAGGAAATTTTGTTATAGGAAAGACCAATCTTACGAGCAATCAGTTCCTGAATTTTGTCGCATGTATTTAGAAACACCCTGTATATTACACATTTTTTTAAGCGTGCAAAATTATTGACAATATTTTTTCTCTAATTGGCACATGTCGTATTTTTCTAGTATTTACTAACTCTGGCAGCAAACAAATAAAATAGAAATTTGACAGCTGTGCATTTTTGCCTTCCAGAATTTTTCATTTCATAAATTAACTAAAAACTAAATTAAACAAAAACCTAACAACGCCTCAACAACAAACTAAGACGGTCACAATAATTTCGCACCTCTTCAAAAACAACTACCTATTTTTCGACACAGGAATTAACACATTTAACTAAACAGCAGCTACCCTTTTAACCATGGGCTTCATAGACTAGCAGTGTTGCCATATTCACTGGTATCATTGTTTTAATAGAATTAGTATCGGAATGAAAACTATGTTAATCTTCGGTCCTGTTTAACATTGGTAATCGTTTTGAAAAAAAGTTATTTAGAAAATAGTTAAGATATTTGTTATAGAATGCCGGTAAAGAGCCAAAAAATTAAATTTGTTAAAAAGTTGAAATTTTTGATGTTTTTCTTTAAAAATATAAGTTTTTCGCGGTTTAGCGAAATTCTTGGTTCATTTTTACAACGATTGGACTGAACCATTTTTTTTGACAATTTTTTTTAACTGCCTCAAATGTAAAATTGATTTTTGGCGAAGAAGCGCCCGTCATGTTTGCTCTTAAGGTTAGGAAACCACTCCATTTAGTTAGGATGCCCGTGTTCTAAATGTGTTGAGGAATCCTATTGACTGCGCCACTGTTATATCTTGAATAACACTAAAGATTTTTTTTTTAAATTAATTTTATTAATAAAAAGTATAAAGTATGTTTCTTGAAGGTTAGTTGTTATAAACTGGACTTAAATTTGTGTCACTCCCATTTATAAGGTAAGGCAAATCAAAAGATATAGCAAAAAGTTTTGGATTTACAAGAAATGCAACTTAGCTGAATATAATCCTATAGGTCAATGATAATTATTCTAGGAATTGCAACTAAGCATAATTTATCTCTAATGAATTTACTATGAAATAATATACAGTATTTTTTTTATATACAGTATGTCTACTTAAGTTGGAACCATATGGAAAACATTTTTATTATTGATTTTAGGAAAAAAGTTATTCTTGATAAAAAGTCCTGCATGACCCAAAACTTAAAATACAGTCATCAGATATCAAATTTTTCAAGCCGTATACGAGGTTTGTTAAAAAATGTGAATTTTGCTCAAGAGTAAAGTACGTTTATTTTTTTACAAAATCGAAAATTTTCATTAAGAAATTTGCTAAATTCTTCACAAACATCAACAAAAGGAAAGCGTATCATGTTTATAGTAGCTAACGTAATTTATAACGTTTTCAGATATTTACAATCAATGTGTAGAGTGTAGAGTTTAAAAAATAAGAAAATCTGTTTTTTCAGATATATCGGTCTAATTGCATATTTAAATGTAATATTCAATTCTAATCAACTTTTCTTTATGAAAATTTTCGATTTTGTCGGTTTCTGGAGATTTGAAAATAAACGATAAAAATATAATTATTTTTTAAATCTTGTACATTTTACCCTGTTTAATTGTTTGACTTTATTAAGTATTTTAAGGTTTTGTTATCTATTACTCAACTCATAAATTTATGTTGTTTTTACACACTGCTGTAAACTGTTGTCAGTATTTTCAAAATATATAAATAAGTAAGAAATGTTATTCTACATCTTAATAGGTACCGTTGTAATAATTATTAAATAAATATTTTTCCATATAAAAGAATAAACGGAGAATTCAATAATATCAAACTCACATCTACTAACTATAAAATATATATAACATCGACATCTGCTTCGCATTAAACCAATTATTTTTTATAAAGAAATGAAAGAGTATAATAACGAAATAATAGTCGTGAAATCGTTAAATAATAACGATAATCAGCCGCTGTCAATTTATCTCAATTATGAAACATGTGCCGACACGTAGAGTCGAAACTAGTTACGACAAATGATGTAGATATCATGTTGACAAAACTGCAAGTCAGTGCACGGAATGAGCACCAATACAACACTCGTTTCCTCTCCCTAGTTAACATAGTTTTTTTATTATTTTTTTTTGTTCCTAGAACATTGTTGGAAGTTGGAATACCTTATATAGCATGAGTATGTAAGATAGTACAAATTGTTTAGATAAATAAAAGTAATAAAAACAAAAAATAATCTTATTATTAAATTACACAGTGGCGGTCCCAGAATTTGCCAAAGGGGGGGGGGGGGGGCTAAGTTTTTTTATTTGTAGAAACAAAAGAATAGCAAATATATATTTTTATTAATAACTTGGAACAAGTTTAACAAAGACTATATTAATAAAGTAATGAGTGCCTCCTAAAAATATTAATATTTTGCTTTAGTAGTTAGTTGCTGACCAGTCTTTTAGCTGCATACGCTTTGGCTTCATAGACGCAAATTTTTTATTGATTTTCTCATGATTAATGTCAATTTCTTTGTGAACATTCAACAATGCCAAGCAACTAAATGTTTCCTGCAACATAGTTGAACGTAGATACGTTTTAAGGCGTTTGCTTGTTGAGAAACTCCTCTCAGGTGTTGCAGTTGTGACAGGAAGTGTGGCAAAGATGATTAAAAGGATCCTGATTAGCGGAAAAAAATCGGTGCAGTACATTAATGCTTCCACTGCTGTACAAGGACGAATAATAGTTGTTTCGTTTTCCCATCTTCTATGACACATCATTATTTCAGCCTTAAGCTGATTATCACTAACATTTATGTCGTATTCATAGAACATAGCTGCTTTAATAATTTCGTCTACATGATATTTTGAAGATTTTGCAGGAATTAATCCTTCTAATGGAATACCTTCTGCCAATCTATCGCAAAACCTTGATTGTAGCTCTTCTATGAAATGGTCCAGAAATGGAATAAAAAATATAGACCTACGAAAATATTCATTCGTAGTGGATGCTTCCACATTACTTCTTAGAGTTTGTCTTCCACATAATCTGAAACTAAATTAATAATGAATATGATTTACTTATTGGCAATATATGACATTATTTTACCTAGGAATTTTAATTTCTATCCCAAGACGTTCTGAAAAGTTTTCGAGGTCATAAAATATTTTGTTGAATATTTCTTCGGATTTAGTCCTTAAATGTGCTTATTAGAGTTTTAACATTCTTCATAGCTGTGAAATATCCAAATTCTTACTTTGAAGGACAGTGCTTAAGGTGACTGAATATTCAAACAAATAAGCAGTAACCCACAGGGAAACTAGAAAATCGCTTCTTTTTATAAAATAACTATAGCACATTGCATTTCGTAAAGTTTTAGTGTCTTTGTCGTTTTCTAATTGTTATAGGGCTATGACAATAACAGATAATAATTGTTTAAAAGTAATTAATGTATCGTGCCTTTCAACCCAACGTGTTGCACAGAGTGGTTTTAGTTTTCTTCTATTAGTTTCTAAGATTGGTTTTTGTTCGTCGATTATTTCATTCAACATAGTAATGCGTTTTGCAGAACCACTTAAAAATGTAGGAACACTTCCTACAATTCCCATCGCATTTTTTAATGCGCTTAAATCGCATGATTTGGACACAGCTAAATTAAGGGAATGGTTAAAACAATGTGTGTATAAGGCCAGCGGTTGCTCTTTTCGGATCAGTGCTTGAACGCTTAAGGCTTAAGCCCCCAAGCCCCCCCCTTGGAACCGCCACTGAAATGTCAAGAATGTTTTGCTTGATTTTCACCAGAAAGAGAAAAACATTAGCAAAATAGTTTTAAAAGAAAATTAAAACCAATACATTTTAATGATAGTTTTTTTCAAGACCAAGTTTATTTAAGATTTGATTCGTAGCTAACATCTACCTAACAACCACATTAAACTAATGAGGTTTAACAATAATTTTTTCCAATTATTATCTTATGGACAAACACATGAAATATATAAATAAATAAAAAGTTAAAAAGAGAAAATAAAATCCAAATAAAACTAATAACATACATAAAAGTTACACTTATAACTAATATAAAACTCATAGAATTATTTACTATGATTGTCATGATAAAATTCATCTATATTATAGTATGATTTTTCTACTAGATAGGCATGTAGCTGTTTCCTGAAATTACTGAGAGTTTTCATGTTTCTAAATGATAAGGGGAATGAATTAAAAATTTTAATGCCGTTGTAAATTGAAAGGCTCGGGGCAACAAGGGACATAAGCCACATATGATAGTGATTTCAGTGCTGACGATAGTATAGCAGATAGAGATTTTCATCCAACTGTTAGTGGATCTGAATCTCCATTTGAATCTGAACAATCCGTAAGTAAACAAAATTGTGACTTATGACTTTTTTGGTTTATTTTTTGGTGGGCATGTGCCATTATCTACTTAAAAACAATACTATTTTTTTTTGTATGTTAATTCATAAAATTTGTTTTCCAGATGGGCTTAAATGATAAAATAGTGTTGACTAATTAAATTTTTGTTGCTAAATTAAGGGATTTATTTATTTTTACCAGAAAAATTTCGGATAATTCTCTTTGCGGCTTAAGACCTTTTTGAGTTTAATTGTGGCTTATGACCTTTTTGGTTCCTAAATTAGAACATACATTATTTTCTTGCAGATCTCTGGAGAAGAGTCGTCGGATGAAAATTTTGAGGAACCAGTCCAAAACGTAACACAACAAGCTGGAACATCACGAGGTGTTCTGGTAACGCCGGATAAAAGCAATCCTTCTCGATGGCAGACGACGAATATAGAATGAATGCAAGTATGAAAGTAGTAGGGGAAAAACGCTTTTGGATAGGAAAATTGGCCCGTCTTGTAACTGCAAGAAAAAGTGTAGAGAGGGACTCCTGGGAAAAGAAACTGACATTTTCAATTCATTTTGGAACTTAGATACCTACAAGGCCCAAAACACTTACCTGTTCGGATCCATAAAAGCTGTACCAAAGAAGCGTTTCTATAAAAAAATAATAAAAAGAAGAGAATCGTTTCGAAAAGTCACTTATCAATATTTTGTCAAAGTAAATGGAATTGACATACAGCTGTGCAAGCAAGAATTTTTAGCCAGTCAAGGTCTGCAAAAGTCTTCTAAGCGAGTTAGGCTTATTTGTAATCAGATCTCAGACGGGCGAAGTGTTCCACAAGATGACAAGAAAAGAAAACACAGCAATCGGCCAAATAGAACACCATTTGAACAAGTACAGTCTGTTCATGACCATATACACGCGTTCCCAAAATATGTCAGCCATTACATCAGAAAGAAAAATCCAAGCAGAGTTTACCTGGACAATGACATTAGTATCTCTGGACTTTACAAAGATTTTTATATTGACTGGTTTACGGAAAAAAATATTACCCCAGTCAAAGAAGACAAGTATCGAAGAATATTTTGCAATAAATATAACATAGGCTTCAAATTGCCGAAAAGCGATACGTGTCTAACATGTGATTCAATGAAAATTGCTATTCAAACAACAACTGCGAACAAGAATGAAGAAGACATTAAAAGACTGAAACTTGAGCTTGAGTTACATCATAGGAGAACAGAAGTCATGTCAAATAATATAAAGGAGAAAGTAAAATCAGTTAAACAAACCAATAGAAAAGTATTAGTCATTGCATTTGACTTGCAGCAAACTCTTCCAATACCTAGTCTTACAGTTGGTCCGGTATTCTACTTGCGTAAAGTTGGACTAATAACCTTGGTTATTTACGATTGCATATCTGGATAAGCAAGCATGTTCATGTGGACAGAGGCTCCAGCCAAGAGAGAAAGTGAGGAAATAGCAAGTATTTTATTAAGTACCTCTCATCTACAGAAACAAATGAACAATGGGAACTTGTTGTTTTCACTGATAACTGTGGAGGCCAGAACAAAAACTGGCTAATTATGGCACTATTGCTACAACTTGTCAGGGAAAAAAATTTAAAAGTATTAAACATATGTTTTGGTATCAGGGCAAACCTATTTGCCTTGCGATAAGGATTTCGCTCAAATTGAAAAACACAAGAGGTATTTGAGACAAATTTATTGCCCAGAGGACTGGTACGAAGCCGTTAGAAAAAGTAAAAGGGCCAATCTATTCGAAGTTATTGTTATGGAACAGAAAGATTTCCTATCGTTTCAAGAAGTTCCTATGGTGAAAAAAAAAAACATAACTGAAGATAAAGAGCCTGTAAATTTTACAGAAGCACGCTGCTTCCGATTTGAATCATACGATGTTTATAAAACATGAACTAAATGGAAATTTAAAAAAAGTTAATGGTGGAAAGCATGGAAATAGGTTAGTTCTTCAGTCAGACGATATTCTTGACAACTTAGACTGCAAATACAATGAACCTGTAAAACTGAACAGTTTTATATTTTCGAGCAGTGTGCTGGAGAGCACATTGACGAAACTGAAGATCAAAATATTGCGGAAGATGTGGATGGAGAAGAAGACTAACGGAAAGCTGCTTATTATTTTTTACCTGTGCTAGTATATTTTTATTGTAACCAAAGAATTTATGTTGAGCTAAGAGCTACTTATTTTATTTTTTTGAGTGAAATCTAGAAAATGTTGTTTTATTTTGATATAAGAAAGGCACATGACACACTTTAGCAAAAAAAATCTAATATATTCTAAAAAAATAAACTTTTTTGTATTTTGTTTTATTTACTGGGAAGAACTCAACTCACTGAAACCCTCTGACCCAAAACTTTTGCAAAACAAACCCGATTTACAGATTTGACTAGAATTTTCCAAGTCGTTTTTCTCATTAATGTTCCAATGTGGCTTATGCACCTTGTTGCGCCGAGCGCTTCAATTATTGAATCTTTGACCAAGGTAGATTTAGGTATAATCAAAGCCAAATCAAGCAGATCTATTATTATTTCTGTATGCATTTTTGTTTTTATAGATTAATCCGGCTGTTTCTAAAATAAAAAGTGAAGAAAGCGTTAATATTTGGCGTACTTTAAATAGTGACCTGCAAGAGGCAGAATATTTTGCTTGACATAGTAGACGAACAGCCCGTTTTTGTAAAATGAATGTACTATGAAAAAGTTAATTGCTGCATACTCCCCAAAATTTTATTGCATACCTTAAATTAGATTCAATCAACCCAAAGTAAACATTCTTAGCTGCAGCAAATCTCAATTCCCTCCTGGTAGATCTAATCGCAAAACAACCAGAGGCTAGCTTTTTATTCAAACCATCTACGTGACATTTAAAATTCAAATAAGAGTCTATTTTTAGACCTAAAAATGTTATGTTGGCATGACATTCTATCAACTCCAACTTTAGGTTTGGTAATATATTTTTAATACTTAACAGTTTCGTTTTGCTAGTATTCAGTGTTAAAAAGTTGGTGAGAAAATAAAACAACTCCAAATCAATGGGATTGATTTGGAGTTGTTTTATTTTCTCATTGAAGATGGCCACATTTGAGAGGTTAGATTCACTTCATAGTTTAAAAAGTTGGCCTCACACCACTCATTAACTTTTATCATGATCATGAGATACCATATCAGGAAGTTTGCTTGAATCTGTAGAATGCCATACATGTGTTGTATCGTCAGCAAATAATGTCAAGTGAGCTGAAATATCAAGAAATGCTAGATCATTTACATAAATTAGAAACAGTAACGGCCCAAGAACTGACTCTTGAGGGACGCCCTACTTAACGTCCAGTAAACGCGAATCTGTAGTTGTTCTAACAAACTGTTTCCTTCCGGACAAGTAAGATCCCATCCACTTCAGAGCAACATCTTTAATACCATAATGATGAAGCTTCTGCAACAACAGTCCATGGCTCACGCAATCAAAAGCTTTTGTTAAGTCACAGAAGGCTGCAACAGCAGCGTCACCTATGTTAATGCTGTGGTAAACTGTTTCGAAACGGTTAAAGATTGCATGTGCTGTGCTAGATTTCGTACGAAATCCAAACTGATTTATTGTTAGATAATTAAACTCATTTAAAAACTTATATAAGCGAAATTTTTTC